ATCCGAAACTAGTTTCGGATTAGTACCTTTCCGAAACTAGTTTCGGGTAGGTTTCGTTTCGAGTCCAACTCTAATTTCCAGTCGTACGAGGTTAAAAATTTTATCCGTCTGTCACTCTTATTGGATAGTAATTTATTTTTGCAAAATTCGGGAAAGAATCCCGAATAGTGATACGAGCTGGCCCCGGCCTGACGGGCGGGTCGACCCTGCACCCTTGTGGGCCGGGCTGGTCAATAAAAGAAGTGCTAGAATCGATTCTCGCATTGGCTAAATTCAACTAAACATTAAAATGTAGACACTCATTAGTTGCTAATTAGGCCAGACCAATTTAATTTTCTGTTTAACATAACATTGATAACAAACAAAGTGAGGGGGAGGGTTAAAATAATACACACATATATGCATCACGTGATACTAATTGTACGATTTAATTGGCTAGATATCTTGTGAAACGCAATAGTCAGTCATCTTTTACTAATGCAACAATAGATTTCTGCGACCTTCCGTATACTACAGTACTAACATGAAAAAACAACCGCATTTGCATTTAAGATACTAATTTATAAAAAGTATAATTTATTTTCTATTTAGTGAATAGATATGTTCGTGATATATATGAGTGCTACGAAGGAAAAATGAGACTTCGGGCTTTCAATTTTATCATCAATTATTTATTGGATTCAGCCCATGACAATTTGTTTGCGTGAATTCGATAAATAATAAATGATAAAGTTGAAAGCCCGAGATCCCATTTGTTCTTGTAATGTTAGAAACTTTAAGAAAATTTGATTGTGTGAAATAATGGGAGTATTATTAAAGGGATGATATGTAAATTATATTTAAAACTTTTAATTCGCCATTACTTATCCCGGCCATTTTTTCTCTTTATTTTATACTGTATTCCTAAATAGATACACTCTATTGTAAGATTCATAATTTTTCAATTTAAATTTATAATAGTTCGCATTAGAATTTCACATAGCCATCAAAGTTTTATTGTGAAAGATTTAGACAGAGCTATTGTAATATATAATCACAAACGATCGTATATTAAAAAAAAATAAAACATTTCTTTGTAAAATAATTGAACCAAGATACCACAAAATAAAACTATACTCAATTACTAAAAAACTACACTATGATTTTTTTGAATCATAAAGAAATCCATTCGATCATATTCTCTTATCCTGTAGCTTTAAGTTGAAGTTTTTTAATACAATAATTGACATCTCATTTTCACCTTTGTAATACTTTTACTGTTCGATAATGAATAAAATTTATTTTTTAGAACGTTTTGCGGCTCTATTATTGGTCTTAATTTCTGCTCTTGTATAAAAATTCCTATTTTCCTGACAAATTTCGCACAGCGGATAAATCTGCTTAAAACATTCTTTTAAAGATTTAGATGGAGATACCAAATTATCACTATTTCCGCAATAGTAACAAATCTGATAATTTCCCACTTTATGACTTGAGTAGTATAGTATTTCAATAGGCGAGTTACAGCTAATTTGTGTACGTACAAATATTACTTCCTTCAAATAATGATCATCAGGAAAAATCGGCGCACCACATGAATATGAATACAACTCTAATGTTTGTTGAAAGTCATATAACTCATCATCGGTTAAAAACTTGTTACTATACACACAGTGACACTTCCGGCAATCTTCACAATCAATATAATCACGAATTTTTTCTGCAATTAGAATAGATTTTGGAATTAATTCAGATTTTGCCTGCGATTGCATGTATGTTGGTCTATGTTCTTCAGTCGTTATAGTTCCATAAACATCTTGAAAGGTTGCATAATGGTCCATATTATCTAATTTAAATTTCATTAATATGTAATTATCTGAATTGAATCTTGAAGTAAATAAATTTACCTTTTGAGGGAACTGGATCTGGGAGAAAGCTTAAATTTCCAAATTCATGTAATGGAAGACGAATTGGTTTACAATATAAACAGGAATTACTATTGCATTTTTTTATCTTTAATATTAATATATAAATATGTAATAATTTTGTTGTAATCAGTAATATTCACATCTCGAAGACAACCTTGAAACACTCTAATAATAATTGTTTACATGCCTGAAAACTATAGGCACGCGTTTGGTAGTGAGTATCTATAAATTCGACCAATGCTAAATGATTGCGTATTTGTGCTTGTGTAGTTTCTTCGATTTTTAATGTCGGATCTATACTGAAAATTGACTGATCAAAAATTAACAATTTCATATGTAAAATAGTAAATACAACGGAAAGTTAATAAGAATCTCTAATATTAGATAAAATTATCATAAAGTGTCACTTTTCTTTACTTCGAATACTTCAGTAATGGCTTCTTGATTCGCTAGGGAATAACATCTAAACTTGCTATCTTTCAATTTGAGCCATTTAGTTCTGTTATTTAATATTTCTTGAACGCCTCTAATACTTTCTTTTAACTCAGATTTTAATTTAACAGATTCTTGAGCTTTTTTACATATATCACCTAAGGTGTTAGCTATCCCAAATAAAGTTTCAGATTCAAGGCTCATTGAATCACGCTTAAGCGCTACACCTTGAAGACCCAAATTCAAAGTACTCATAATTCTTTCAGCAGGATTTGTCCAGCTGTGATGAGGAGCTGTACGAACTGTGGCAAGTAAATCAAAATCACCACAAAGAAAAAAACTAATTAGTGTGATTTGTACTGAACCATAATTACAACGATGATCCAGGCCTTCGTCAGTATAAAGACACAAAATCGGTGGCATTACTTGATTTGCATATTGAATATTTAGCACATTTAAACATTCAGTTGAATGTCTAATAGCAGAGCTTGGTTCAAAAATTGTATCTTTATATGATACAAACACATGGCCATTATAAAATGACCTAGAAATTTCATTAGGAATAGATATAAAAAAAATTACAGAGGGAGTTAAAGATAATTTTGAAAAATCGTGATTAGTGGCTGCCAAAATACTTTCTTGTCCAACTATTAAATGTCGATTTTGTACACCTGTAGAAACTGCAACATCTTCTCTGATAGGAACTTTATGCTTATCATCTGCAGAAATTAAACAAGTCCATTGACGGTATTTAATACAAAATTCTCTGAGATATCGGAAGAGTGCAGCACAATAATGCGTATCTTCACTATTTTTTCGAAGCATCCGACCCTGTACTTTAAATTTAACATTAAACCGACTAGTATAATATGCAGCCTGCATTGTGGTAGCATTTGTAGGGCAAAATTGAAGGCAAATCCATTCGTCGAATAGAATATTAATATCAGAAGGTAAAGGATCGCCATAATTAATTTTTAATCTTTCTACTATAGTTTCACGAAGGTCACGAATTGACAAGGCTAATGGCATATATAAAATAGTTCCATGTCGCCGTTTATTTACTGCAAAACAGTTCTGAAGAAATAGCTATTTACAACATAACATAATCAATATGAGTGACGCCAAGGGAAAAGGCACTCTAATCATATAAAATTTATATGATTAGAGTGCCTGCATTACTCATATGGTAAGCAAATATAAAATATACCTGTTCATTAAAGTAGGCATCAGTTTCATTCCAAAATGCATTAAATTTCATTCCTTTAAATCCATTATTTGTTCGCAAGTCGAACACAATATTAGGATCTTCCAACATTAACATTAAGCGTAACCTCTCTTCCACATCATGACTGATTGTATCTGAAGTTACTGCAGTATTACCAGTAAGATCAAGATGGAGCATCCGTAATACTGCTGGCATAACTTTCCGAATATAGGAATACTAAAACACAAAAATTATAATGATAATGTATACATTCAATGTTCTATACATTATTTACATTATCTTACCTTATTAAGCACGTTCTTACGCATTTGTCGTGTAAAGTAATGGGGTAATTCTTCGTGAATTCTAGCTAGCATACGTGCCTTCAACGTTTCATATTGCCTATCATTAAGTACTTCATCGTCTGGGACTCTCCATACATAATTGATTGTGCCCAAATAATTTCTTTAAAAAATAAAATATCAATAATATAAATTAGATAAAACGTATACTAAATTTTGATATGATTACCTTCAAAAAAAAAGCAAAAAAATCTTTAAAAACTTTAAAGATTTTTTATTTGTGGCATTTATGTAATATCACTATCCCTTAAATTGTAACACAGGCAAATTTGCCTGCGAAGATTTTTACTAATTTTTTTAATATTTAAATTTTTT